GCCAAAAAAGAGATCTGTCTAGAAGGATATGAAAATCATTAACCACTGAGAATCTGGTTCTCTCATATTTACCCGTCAAGCAAAACAGGTTCAGTTTAATGCCTTGAGATTAAAAATAATCATAATAATAACAATTTGCTCATTCAGCACATAAGATGAAAGGAAAACTTTGTTTGCTTTAGATTCAAGAAAGGTACCTGCATCAGGGCTTGAACAACCCTCAGCGCGAGCACCTCACTGTTTAAGCCCAAAAGGATTTTCAGCTCCTTTTTGCTGCACGATGAAATCTATTTCATAGCACACATGTTGTGTTCAACATGTTAGGATTATACAAACACTGCAGTGGGGTTTGAGTTATTAAAAAAAAAAAAAAAGGCCACAATTAGTCTAGCATGGTTCTTTGCAGTAGAGAGCTTCACTGCTCTTTCTAGAGTCCATTTAACAAACCTAATGTCTATGCAGGTAGTTAGAGTATATATGTGTGTGCATGTGTGTGAGGTGGTGTGGGTCTCTTTATCTCGTTGGAATTAGACCCTTAGCTCTGGTTCTTATCGCTCAGTGTTTGCTCAGACCTTGCAATCTTCTGCCTCTCAAAAGTGGGTCAAAAAAAAAGAAAAGAGGATTAACCCTTTAGCTCTCATTCCACCTTCTTGCAGCCAACTCTCAAAGTTTCTGTCCTGGTAGCTCCTCCTCCTGCGCTGCCCACAAGTCCCCCCTGCCACCTAACCCACATGGCCAGCGTCTCTTTAGCCAATTAAGGTGTTAAAGAGGGTCTTATAGACTGCTCTGCAATATGAGAGATGTTCTATAAGGTCGTATCATGTGAAGCTTTTTACCGCATTGTTTTATACATTTTACTTCTTCCATCCCAATGAGGTCAGAGATCAATGTTACAGAGCAGATGACGGTTAGGAAGCAAATTGAGTGTGTATATCATTTTCGGATGGAAAATATGAATCAATTAAAGAAAAAGTGTTGGACCTCTGATTGGTTCAAGGAAGCCTTAACTCAAAGTTTGCTTTTGCTTTGTTATTATTTTGGATGTAGAGTGGTCTTTCGTCATCGTCTTGGTGAAGTTTCAAAGTACTCATTTTGAAACCTGCACGTGGAAACCCTTTAAAGGGGGGTTCTCAACTGGTCTAGCGTAAGGACCCACCACAAACAAATTTCGGATATTTTTCAACCAGTCGGATATATTTAATGCAGGTTGTGCGGTTTGGACTGCAGACGGTACAAAAGTTAAAAGTTCTTTACTAATTAACTAACTTAACTTACTAACTAAGTTATTTACTAATCGGCAAAAAAAAATTCTAAAAACGACTCCGCGACCCACTTTTGGGTCCCGACCCACAAGGTGAGAACCACTGCTTTGAAAGATCTTCACAGAGGAGCTTGCCACTGTCCTGAGGGAATTATATTTTCAAGAGTTGACCCAAATATTACAGTGGTAATGTCCCACTTTGGTTACTGTACTATACAGGACCACAACGGGGTTTTAAGGGGAATTCTTCCATCCACCTCAGAAGCTGCTTGGTTTCTGCTATACGATGAGTTAGATATTAAATGTCTTATCACTCCAGCCAAGGTCTAGTTATTCATATGGTTTGAGAAGGAGATACTAAAGGGAGTTTTCGGCCCATTTTCACAACAGACAAACTCAGAAAAGGTTCAGGTAGCTGTACTACCAGCTTCCTAAAGCATTATTCTGACACCGTGTGTGTTAATGAGTAACATTGTGTGACTGCTCTGCTCCTTGATGTTATTTTGAATATTTCAAGTGAAATAAGTAAGTGTTGTATTTGATGGAAACATCTGGAAATGGTGTGTTTACACAAAGCATAGGGGTCTTCTCTGTCTTTGGTTTGTAGTCTGCATCTAGTTCTGTGTTAATAAAAGTGTTTTATAAGCACCAAATCTTCCCCCTCATTTGGGGAAGCAGTAGGAACATGTGTAGTGGTGCAATGTAATTTGCACCATTTATATCTGAAATCATGTTGCCTGAGACGAATAGTGACATGAAACAAAGAGACCACTTCTGCTTCTCTCTGCAACGGAAGAGTCCACAGAAGAGCTTTGTTGTAATAACTTCTTTCTTTGAAATGACAGATATGTGAGGGATGGGGAAAGAGGGCAACATATCTTTTTTATTTGCACACGAGTTTGGCTACATGACATGTTAAGTAATGTGTTCTCCACATTCAAACAGAGCATGTATGGGCTGTTCTAAAGTGAATTTGCCTGTGTCACTTAATGCAAAATTAATTGACTCTCCTTTGGTGCCATTCATGTTTCTCTGTGTCCTTCTGAACCCAGTGTTGTTGTTTTTTTCTCACAGTAAGTAGGACAGAGAAAGGTTGTCTCTCAGTCTGACCAGATCCAGTTAGGTAGGATATTTTAATCCTGCTTATACTGGTCCTATTCATTATCTGACAACTGCAGCCCTTCAGTTGTGCCTCTATCGCCTGTAAAGAATGTAATGAATCAATATTGAGTATCTGTCGGCTGCCACGCTGCATCTGCTCAGTCAGTTGTCACTTCCTTCACCCACTGAAGAAACACAAGTTTCACAGCTCTTATTTCCTTGCGCAACATTTTGGGTACATACAGCCATAGCATATGTTTGTTCCTGTGCGTGCTGTGGTGTAGAATTGTTGCGTGAATAGGATGCCTTCATACACTCTTTTTTTTTTTTTTTACAGTGTGTTGAGTTTTATTTAACACCTTTAAGGCTCTTTGCTGCATTGGCAGAACTTTGTGCTTATACATTTCATCTTGTGGTTTAGACATCTGACAAACTGTTTGCTGACTGCAGCAAGTTTGGTGTTTTATTGATAATTCTTCTTTTTTTTTTTTTTCTTCAAGCTTGCTTTTGTGACTCAGCAAATCCTCTTGCTGATTCTTCCTTAAGACAAAAATATAAGATGTAGGTCTTTTTCAGGTTCAGGTTACTTTATTTGTACCCATAAGTAGATTTGGTTGCAGGGATAGTCACATATACTTAATAAATCACAGACAATACATTTAAAGTGCAAATGCATGGTGCATGGGTAAAAGTGCAGAAGTGCATAAAGTGCACAGTTTCCAATCATACAGGATTACTCATTTTAAGAGGTAACTCTTGATGTTTAGTGAATATAAATTTACTTTTTTTTAAAAAGGATCCCATATTTGTGTATATTCCCCCCTGATTTGAATAAAAATGGGGTAAATATGTACCTTTTATTACATATATATATATAGATATGTACAGCTGTAACAAGGGTCATACATATATATATATATATATATATATTATATATATATATATATATATATATAGGGTCAGTATAGACTCAAAACAGTCTGATAATTCTTGAAGAAATATTCTCAAATGTGTAAAATAATCACATTTAGAATATTACTGTCTCTTCAACAATATACTTTATTCTATATCTTTATAACTGTGGTTTTCCAGTGACCTAGAAACTAAATATCAGAACAGGGTGGTTGGTAAGCTTGTAACACTGACAAAAACACAACTTTAACCCTTAATTCATTTATGTATGCATTGTCCAAGTCCAAATCTGGAGTCTTGAGAATATCAGGGCAGCTGGTGGTTCCTCAAGTCTGTCCTGTATTAGTCAGTGTATCTGAATGAGTTGAGGCATACATACAGTCACTGCTGCCTCCTGTCATGACTGGTCCCACAGCGGGTCTGACACCTGCACTCAGTATTCATTTCCCCACATGTTGTTGACTCTGTGTGCTGCTCTTATCTCTGACTGACTGATGGGAGCCGCAGACTCTACGAACATTTTCAACATGTACTTAGGAAACAGAGGGGGCAGGATCTACCGTTACTCTCCCTGTAGTGAATGTGTACGTATATGTGGCATCAGTGGTAGCATATGAAATCAGGGAACAGACATCTTAGATACTAGAATGGTGAGATCTTGCATATAAAAGAGTCTGATTTTTTTGTTCGAGCTGCAAGATCGTGGTCTGCAGAATTGTGGTACAGACAGTCACATTGTCATGGCTTTAATGTTCCTTCCAGTAAAAAAAAAAACGTTTTGCCAAAATGATCATCCCTGCTCATCATGAGTCAGAAAATCTTTTGAAATGATCCAAATATGATTTATTCTGTCATATTGTGCAACCGTATTTTGCATACCTAGGCACGAGTTTGTTAGAGGAAAATTTCCGCCCACATCAGGTGATTAAAAAAAATTCCTCTCTGCTTGTTTCTTATTAGTAAAATACATTTCAGGGGAAAACTCAGCAGTCATACCTGAGCTAAGTCTAACCTCCAAATATGAATGGTGTCTGCCTCGAGACAAAGCTGTCTGACGCTGCTTATTTTCTCTTTTGGGCTGTTAGTCATGTAAGCTGTGAGCCAACCAGGTGAGGAAAGTGGCAGTTCTCTCTGTGATTTCACTTCCTCTTAATGTTGAGGTTGAAGTCTTCTGTGAGCAGCTTGTAGAGTCTGATTGTGTGAGTAGCGCTGCACATGTTGCACAACAGACAATTGACACATGGGCTGGATGTCGAAGCTTCATATGGATTTCACACTGAAATTTAGAAGTAGTGAGCGAAATTTGGCATTTCATCATTGTTTCAATTTTTTTCAGTTTTTACTTGTGTTTATAATTTACAAGCCTGTTCTCGTAGTTACCGCTCTCTTATCTAAAAACATGATGTTCTTTACTTGCTGTGTCATCCAGCAACATTGCCTAATTCTCTTATTGAAACAAAGGAACCATAAATAACATACACAAAAAAAACACTCTTCTCTCGACTTATTTGAACAATATAAAAAACAGAGCAGAGAGTTTTAGAGATGTCCAATTCTGTAACAAACTGAATGGAAAGTTGAGTTTTAAAAAAAGACGTATTTGACTAACGTGCTGCTTGAAGGAAAGTCAACAAAAAAAAATATTTTACTATTCACCTGAAGGAAACAGTTTTAGCAGACAGGGGAAGTAACAGTCTGACAGTTTTTTTTTTTCTTTCCCCTTTAGGTCTTTGTAGTGTCTCGCTACACTGTTGTCCTGCCATCTTGGCTTCCAAAAACTTGTGCCTTTTTGAACGCTGTGCACCCTAGCTCTGCTACCGGCCTCAGTTTCCCCCTGACTGTAGGAAAACCCATCGAGACAAGAGAGAGGCCTCTGTCTCCACCATAGCTGCTACTGACCGCTGACTGCATGTCTCAGAGCTCTGAGCAACCCCCCTCCTCTTCCTCCTCCTCCTCCTCTTCCTCGTCCTTCCACTCCTCGTCAAGGACCCACATACCCAAACAACTGTAGCTGCTTCAGTAAAGGCACGTTTGGCGATCTCTCTCCCTGGACAAAAGGGTTGACCGTCGTCCCCCTGCCTGGCCTTTCATTGGTTGCTCCTTCAGCGGGGGAGGCAGCTTTAACGCCGAGCCGCTCTCCCTGGAGATGAAGCTGCAGGCTGTCATGGAGAACCTGCATAGGCAGCAGAGGGCCAAGCTGCTAATGGAGCAGCAGCTTCAGCAGCAAGCAGCCGCACAGCACACTCAGATCCGCACAGGTGGAGGAGGAGGAGGGGACGAGCCGATGGGGAGCCCGGCCCCTGAGGCAGAGCAGGCCCAGATGGCAGCTCTGGCGGCCATGCGTGCGGTGGCTGCTGGGTTGCAGAGGGTTTCAGATAGTCCCATGTCAGAACGCAGCAGCGGCGGCGAGGATGATGACGATGACAATGACGAAGGGCCAGAGCATTACAAAGACATGATGGGGTCGGATGAGGAGGAGCAGATGTAAGCACTTTATCTACTTGATCAGGTAGCCCTCAAACTTTTTCTTCTCTACTTTTCTTCATTTATACAAATCTGTTTTTCATCTCATAGTAAGCAGAAATGGGACGAGGACGACTTTGAAGGCGAGATGGAGGAAGACTTCGACGACGACTTGGCGGAAGAGGGTCTGCCCACCGGCCACAATGCAGTAGCTCCTGGTAAGGGTATCCTCCTGCTGCCCCATCGTCAGCTGCATCCGCACTCTCAGCTGCTAAAAGCCCGCCCCAGCGTCGACCAGGAGCCCCGTGTCGCCATCCTCCCTCCGCACGCCACTCATGGCCACCTGAGTGCACAGGACCACGGAGAATGGACCTACGAGGAGCAATTCAGACAGGTAGGATGCTGGTGTATTACTTCATTCATCTGATTTTCCTCTGCTTTTATTTGTACTATGATGTATGTTCTTCTGTATCTTTTATTTGTATGTAAGTCTTTGACAAAAGGTGGAAAAGAACATGAATTATAGATCAACTTAAAAGTTTGTGTGGCCACATGACGCTGTTAGATCCGTGGAAGAAGTGATTTTTCTTAAGATTTAGCTTGGGGCTCACTGACATTTGACATTTCCTAACTTATATGACCAAAGAGTTTGAAAAAAAAAAAGTCATTTCCTGTCACGAATAGCACTGCTTGCTGAGGAAGAGAAGCAGCAAGGCAGAGGGAGGCGATTGGGGGGGGGGGGGGGCGGTGGCTCAGGCAACATTTTAACAGCTTTACCATGCAGGCGTTTACTGTAAACATAGTGGGCTGGATATTTTGAGGGAGGCCCCAGTGGAATAAGACGGGCTGTTTATGTGAAGAGATTTAAGTCTGTCAACAGCTAAGTTTAGATGGAGGGCTGCTGGTGAGAGACTCATGAGCAGTGAAGTCCCCTCACTGGTGGCTACTTATGATAGGAAAACTCAAGTAGTCAGTGTTTAATGCTGCATTTCTTTTGCTTTTTTTTTGCCTCATTTGCCACATTAATGGTGTGCGTGTGGACAAATCTAAGTACATTTACACAAAGGAAGGCAAGGAATTTGAAATAAAGCGAAAATAGCATGAACTTAAATAATAAATAATAAAATATGGAAGCAAATGTTAAAGGTTCCATATTATGCTTTTTCTGGTTTTATATGCTCTTCAGTGTGTTTTCCAAGTGTCCTGTGCATGTTTAGGCACATCTATTATGCAAAAATTCAAAGTCTGCGGAAACACGGCTTCTCCTACCTCCTCCTGTTAGCTGTAGCATTAGCTGCATGAAAAGCTCGGTTCTAGCCCCCCTCGATAAAAATTTGTCAGTGCGCCGTCATTGTCAGTGTGAGATCACTGATCTAAGCCCATTGGCTCGTTGTGGCAAGCCGACCAATAACGACAGAGCGGATCGGCAGACCAATCAGAGCAGAGTGGGCTCAGCAGAGTGTAGCTGACGGACTCAGAGCGTAGAGGGAGCAAGGAGGAGCAGTACATGAAAACAGACACTTTTTTCAGACTTTATCTATTGTGAACGTACAAAAGTAGGTACATAGATTAAATATACAAACCCCAAAAAGGGCAAAATATGGGCTCTTTAAGATGAAAATGCCCTCCACTACTGAAACATCTCGTATTCTTGTTGATATCTTTTATTGAATCTTTTTAATAATGAATCGATAACCTGCCTATGATTTTGTTCCAAAATACTTTAGCTAGTTTAAATGATGTCATCTCCAGAGCCCCCATTTAATGTAAAAGCAGCACATATGATTCAATGGAAGCTGCTTTCTTAAAGCAAATGCTGTCATGTTTGGTAGCAATATTTCCACCCATAGAACAACATGTGTGACGGTATGAGTAGCAGTTTATTTTCTTTATTAATCCTGATTTTGGAGTTGTTTGTCAGTGTTTTATATGAAGCCCTTGTTATGTTGGAGGCAAATTAACCTCAGTAGAAGTCACGCTGGCCACATGTGCTTCATTTTTAAACCCGGCCACAGGTTCTGTAATTTCAGGCCTATATTTCATGTAATTAAAGAGTGTAGGGAATAAAACTGCCCTGAAAAGCTGTGCTCTGTTTCTCTAAATAGTGCGCCCCTCCCTCTGTAAAATTCTTTGTGTGAACAGTTGGTGGTTTTCATGTGTCAGGGAGGACATATAGTGCTTTTTTATCATGACATGTCAGTCAGTCACCGACGGTTATATAATCGAGAGAGCCAGTATCTTGGCTGTTAAGATAGTGTTTCCCAATCCATTGTTGATTAAACCTGTGTAACGCCTGCACAGCTCCTCCAGAGAAGGAGCAGAAACTATAAACCGTCATTTCAAGCCTTCTGTGTTTTAAAATGATAAAAGAAATAGAGCAACAGCTGCCACATCTGTTTTCAGAGAGTCGCTGCTCCCATCCTCCTTACTGCTCAGAGGCTATAATGTTGTCAATCCAGAATTTCACTCCTGCATATTATTCACACAGGGTGAATTTTGGGGCTTGGATGATTACGGTGATTAGTAATAATTGCAGCTTTTCCCTCTGAATCGTCCGCCAAAGTGCTGTGTCTGCAGTGGGTAAAGCAAAAATGACAGACCTGTTATGAGGAAGACGGTCCCTCCCCTGATAATTCTAACCACATGCAAAATCAAACTCAGTGATTTCAGTTTTAATTTGTATTTAGTGGGTGCCATTTTTCTTCTGCTGCTTTTTTTTCCATCCGAAAGTACCATTAGTGGTTTCTTCTCGTCATGTGAAACGAACACAGTACAGAACTGACTATCTGATGCATTCTCAGTGCAAACGTCCACACTCCCTTTGCTCTTTAAGGGTGTTAAGGGTGTTAAGGGTGTTAAGAATTGTAAAATCGTCAAATCATATTGAAAGTATGCTCCTAAGTACATATTTGACTTTTGCATCGCTCATTTATCTCATACAAAAAAGAAAACAGAAGCACACTGTCTTTTATATGTTTTACAATGATATTTTAAAACGTCATAAAAATGTATATGCATTCAAAGCTAAAAAATATTCATCTTTTGTTGTTGATTGCTGTACCTATTAGGGCGCATTGGCACTAGATGGTGGTCCTGGATGTTGCCGAGACACGGTTGTCCAAGGTTTTTGTCCAACACAACAAGGAAAAAGCTACAAAAGGACCTTTCACAACTATTCTTAGAACATAGTGTAATATATTCATACGCATTAATTTTTCACTATCCAGCTGCTGCAGTTTAAGCAGACGTGTGAAGAAGCATCATTTATATGCATCAACTGAAAACAGACAAGCTGAGTCATATCCCTTGAAGAGAAATTAGTTCATTGTGAATGTCTGAGTTTTCTTTACACTAAAGGAGGGTCTCAACTGTTTGATTTTGGAGATAACAATTAGGGCAGTAAAGTGGATCACGCATTGTCAAAGCAGAATCCTTTTAAAACTGAATAAGGCCTCAGGCTACATCAATGATACAAACATTTTACACTTCCATGTGTTCTGGAATTAAATGTGTGTGTTTTTTTGGAGGTCACAGGGCGGGGAGGAAGGGGTTAACGCGGTACAGTTTATTTTGGGCAGGTGGGTGGAGGCTGTTGGAATGTGCCTGAGGGAGGGTGATAATGTGGCCACTACAAACCCCAGATCCTCAGCAGAAACCCTGCGTGCCTCTATCAGTCTGCTGCAGTCGGATGTCTTCCCAACGGAGTAATGTCCTTTTCTTTCTTCAGTCAGTTCCTTTATAGAGCACAGCATAGCATATAATGTCTCTGTGCACAACAACTACGGACTCTGACAATGTCCACAGTACCTCTTCTTAAAAAAAAAAAACACTTAAGGGGGCAAAAACAGGGAGACTTCCTTCCTTTAAAAGAGAAATTGAAAAGACAGAGGGGGAGGTAAAAGAGAATATGTGTGGGAACATATAACCCAACATCACACTCATAACAAGTGGAGTACTAAAGGACTGAGTCCATATTAGAAAGAACATTAAGTCTAACCAGTGAAAGGAATTCAACATCAAATATTCAGTGAAAAATGTCCATGAACAAGTTCATTCATTTTTTAACTCTACCTGGGTCAAAGGTGCCATGTCAGTGAGGAAACATCTCACCAACTCCACTTCAGGTGGGTTTTTTTCGCCCTGAGGCTGTGTGAGTGTATCAGCCAAGGCCCAATCTGCATTCCTGGTGGGTCAGTCGGTCACCTTCCTCTCTCCACACTCTCATATGAAGGGTCAGACTAAATCAAGCTAGGACACGCTGTCTGTTCCAATGTTCAATTACCCTGTGGTTAAAAGTGAATTAATCTAATTATTAAAGGTGCTGTGCCAGTGGTGTCATATATGTCAGAGTGTGCAGCATTAAATTAAGGACGCGGTTTGATACACATATCAAATTGTGCTAGCATCCTTGAATTATTTTGGAATTGAAACTGATTTGCTTTGCTGGTGGAGTGTCCTTTCAAAAGAGTTATTTCAGCCCTCCTCCAAACCTCGAGCTGGCCCCATAAATCCTCACCCTCTCAATGTCCATATCAATATCACTCCTTGCATTGGGCTCTGCATTTTTAAATTTTGTACTCACTCCTTTTAAGTTGATGGTACAAGAGATATCATACGACCAATAAGCTTGCATGCATCTGTCGAGATCAACCAACATTCAAATGCTGAGAGGTTTGGAAAGAGATTTCCTCTCCTCCCCCCCCCCGTGATAAACAGACATAGATACTTTTAGCTGAAAAAGATTTTATCAGGACAGTTTCTTCTGCCGAGCTATAACAGACAAAAGCTTGCATATGGACAGCTCCGAGGAAACAGTCTTTTTTATCCGCCAGTCTTTTGCTTCTTTAGTTTTGCTGCTTCACCTTTGCTGATTAGCATGTCACGTCCACACTGCCGATATGCTGCTTGTGTTTGTTTGTGTCTGCCGGGAAAGTGGCTAGGTAGGCTACATTTACTAGCCTAACCTTCCTTTTCAAGCCTGGCATGACGATGTTAGCTAAACTAATTGGCTTGCTTGCTGGACTCGTTCTTTGATTTATGTTGAATAATGATAATAAATAAGACAAGTCATTATCAATTCATTGTTACCTCTGCTTTTTTTTTGTTGCATCGATTCGGTTCTTACTTGTTGTATGTATTTTAGACCAAGTTAAGTATTTTCTTTGGACCGGAAAGTCCGTTGGATCTCCTTAAGTTGGGCTTTTACAACGACACTAGACAAACAACGTCCCTGAGTGGGGCTGTCTCTCTTCCCCCACGCTGTGGCAGGGCTCACAGTTGGACAGGGAGGGGGGTTCACATGGAAAAATACACATGAACATGTTGAGCCTCAGAGGGAGTTTGACTACACTCGACTTCACTTAGAAAGTCATAACTCAATGATATATTTACTAA